GGGGAGAGGAGGGGAAGGAAAAGGAGAGAGGAGGGGAGGAGATTACAGGCCTGTATTACCAGGTTTGGTTTCAATAGTTTATATTAGTGTGCGTTAAACGTACAAAGAAGTGACTTTCGTTTGCGTCATTTCTCTTTCCATGCTTAGAACACCTGGTGGAAATGATGGTTAAGGAGTGTTTCTCTTTTGGTTTTTATTTTTTCTTTGACACATGGTCTAATACTGTTAGCCCAGGCAACCTTGGAACTTGCTGTGTAGCCCAGGCTGGCCTCATACTCACTGGAACCAGCGTGTCTCAGCCTCTCAAGTGCTGGATCACAGGCCTGAGCTACCACCCTCTGCTAGGAAGGTATTTGGGAAGTGGAAAGCATGCTGGCATGCAGCCGCCTGGCATGACTTCTTCCTGCTGTCACTTGGCGTGTTTTGGGGCCACTGAACCCAGTGTGTGTGCAGTCAGAGCGCTGTTAAGACACTGGACACTTAGGTGAGCTGGATGCCAGGCGACCCTCTTCCTCCAGGGCATGATGTATGCATGCTGGCCACTGTCAGTCCCTGTAATCTAAACACCTTAGCTGAGGGCTTGCTGGGTAGCTTACAGGCCTGTGCATGCTATGAGGTGTAAATGGCTGTGCCCTGCTCCGTGTCGTGGAGAGTCCAAGACGGCCTTCCTTTTCTGTGCTGACTGGATCTCTGGTGTTTGGATGCTGCTGTGTCCCTCTGCTTCCTACAGGGCTCCAAACTCAGTGACCACAGGAGCTAGTGATCGGTGACACAAACATAGGTCAGGTGGGGTAGGATGTCGGGAGGGACTGGGGTAAATTAGAAGGTGTGTGCTCCAAGAGAGGATACAGCCTTTCTCTGCACCTTTTGGTGGCTGCCATGTGAGTCCATGTGGCCAGACCTTGAGATGTTCTATATCTGATACTGGATATAAAAACTCCAAGTTTTAAATGTGAGTACTTAATTGAGATGTTGAAGATGGTGTGGGCTAAACCCAAACAGACTGATAAACGTGAATGAACTAATACAGGAGGTTTGCTGATTAAGTTTGGCCTGTAGTCCAAAAGTATATCTTACAGATCTCAGATGTTCTTGATCTCTTCAGTCTGGGCAGCCCTGTCCTCTCCAGAGGGTGTGTGTGTGTGTGTGTGTGTGTGTGTGTGTGTGTGTGTAAACTCAGGGCTTCTTGTATGTTAACAAGCAGCCCAACAACTGAGCTACATCCCTAGACCACAGCTCCTCTATTTTTTAAGCCGTGATGTTGGTTAAATGATTTCATCGGTTTTCTTTACTTGCAAGACAGACATGATAGTGCCTGCTTCTCTAAGTAGCCGGGAGGATTGGGTGGGTTTTTAATTGACAGGCAGGAACCTTCCAGAAAGGAGAGCTAGTCTCCCATCTGTCTCTAATTCGGGCTAGTCCTGGAGCAGGTGTTCACATGAAGGAGAGCTAACATCTGGTTGTCCAGCTCCAGTGAGACCATCATAGCACCATGTTAGGGCATCCAACTCCATTCTATATGCTCAAAACCACCCGGCCACAGTATCTGTCTCAGTGGCCACAGTACAAAGCGGGGACAATACTGGGAACTGCCAGGGAGCCTGCCTCACAGTGCCTAGCTGGAGGGAGGGAAAGCAGGTGCAAGCCCTCTGGAGAGGAGAGTGGCGGTTTCTTTCTTTTTCTTTTAAAGACTGATTTATTTATTATGTAGACTCACAACCACATGGTTGTTGATTTCTTTCAAACTAACCGGGGTAATTACCAGAGAGCTGTGCCCTGAGGGCATTCGCCATGAGAAATGAAAACTTATGCTCGCACAAAAACCTGTCCATGGATTTAAAAGCCACAAACTGGAAGCAACCCAGACCTTTTCCAGTAGGTGGATGGGGAAACAAATTAATGCGCAGTGGGATAGTAGATAAGAATGAAAAGGAATGAACTATTGACGCGTATGGTGATTGGGATGAACCTTAAAGGAATGATCTGTGTGAAGAAAGCCAGCCCTCAGTTCTTACTTGCTTTCTACTCCTGTTTTTATAGTGTTTGAACAAAAGCCTAGAAACAGGGAACAGATCAGTGCCAAGGACTGGGATGTGGGTGGGTTTGGGGGTGCATAGGGGAGCCCTTGGGAAGTTGCCGGAAGGGGTGCTTGTAGCTGAGGAGCAGTTGATATTTTACTGTGGTGGTATGCACTGGTGAAATTACTTTAGAACTGTATCTGGGGAGTATGGGTTACAGTTGGTAACGTCCCTGTTTTCAAAATAAAAAGTTAACTACAAAACGACTGCAAGAATTTTTAAACATGTTATATTATGCATTGAACCCAGGTTTCATGCATGCCTGACAAGCCTTCTACTCCGGAGCTAGAGCCCCAGGGTTTCTTTTTTTCTTTTCTTCTCCTCCGCCTTTTGGTTTTTCAAGACAGAGTTTCTCAGTATAGTCCTGGCTGTCCTAGAACTCACTCTATAGATCAGGCTGGCCTCAAACTCAGAGATCCACCTGCCTCTGCCTCCCCAGTGCTCGGATTAAAGGTGAGTGCCACCATACTGGCTCTCTTTCTTTCTTCCTTCCTTCCTTCCTTCCTTCCTTCCTTCCTTCCTCCTTCCCTCCCTCCCTTCCTTCCCTCCTTTCTTTCTTTATGCTGTTGTTTGCTTGCTTGTTTAATTTGGAGACAGGGTCTCAATCAGTGATTTAGGCTGGCCTTGAACTTACTCTAGCTCAGGCAGGATTGGAACTTGAAATTCTCCTGCCTCCGCCTTCCAAGTAGCTAGGATGCCAGGCTGCCACCAGGCCCAGAAACTCTGAGTTACTTAAAACCAAAACCAAAGCAAAGCAAAGAATGAGAAAGCCAAGCTGCATGTTTCCTATTGAGTCTTGCTCTTGATTTATCGACCACTGAGATAGACCTGCTCAGACCCCTGGGGTTGGCCCTGTGGCACTGTCAGTTTCCCCCCTCTCCAGCTGCTGCTGGCTTGTCTTCTGGATTCAGGGATGGAGGGAGACTGGCCCATTTCACCCCCTCTTGGCTCCTAAGGGGCTGGACTTGGGATCCCTGATGGTCGGTCTCTGAAGAAAAGGCAGTCTGGAGGGAGGACATTGAAGCATAGGCCCCAGGAGATCAGCAATGTCTTCCTGAAGTTCAGACTTGATTCCCCAAAAAGGCAACTTTTTTTTTTCATCCCACAAATGTGGACCCACCCATCCCTCCGTGTTTCCCAGCAACCGGAGACAGCCTTGCCTGGTGGGTCGAGGGTGCTCTGCCTTCAGGCCTCCATCCCTTCTTTGCTAGTAGATGTGCAACCGTAGCCAGCTCCTTTATTCCTTGAGTACCCTGGAAATTCTGGGAGGTGACAGAGCATTTTGCAGATGGGAATATAATCTTCGCAAGGTTCAAGTGATTGCCCAAAGACCCCTTTCCTCTGCCTCAGAGCACCCAGGGTCTGTGCTGATGTGAAACCCACTTGGCTTCAATCTCTGAGAGCAGTTGTATGTCCTTTTCCTTTGAAGGTTCTCCAAGGTGTGTATGTGGAAGGACTTCAGCCCATAGATTCCAGGTCTAATATTTCAGCAGTTAGTAAACTTTCGGGGTGGGGGGGTACTTTAACCCTTGAAATTCAGGATCCTAAAGGGACTTTGTTTATGCAAATTGTTTATTTTTACTGTCTTTGATTTTATGACACAGTCTCACTGTATAGCCCAGGCTGGCCTCAAGTTGATAAATGTGCTTGCCACCAAGTCTGATGACCTGGGTTTGATTTCCAGAACCCAGAACATCATGGGAAGAGAATTGACTCCTGCAGGTTACCCTTTGACCTCCACATATGCATCATGGTCCTGTGTGTCACAGCCCAAAAGAAATAAAATGTAAAAGGAAGATAGACACCTACCATGTGTTGTAACTCTGCTTGACATTTTGATGAAAAAGAAACAACTGTCATAAAACAAACAGAAAAAGCGAAAGAGTTGCCCTGAAGGTCTGGCCCTCTGTTGGGCTTTACCTTAGTGACAGAAGTCACCTGGTGTGTAGCGTTAGGACACTTGCACTAGGAGCAAAACGAGAGTGGAAAAGGTTAGCAGTGTCTTCTCCATGTATGCAAACAGTTCTGACTTTGTGGGCACCTTGAAAGGGCCTCGGGGGTCCCTCCACAGGGTGCCTGGGCCGCACTTTGAGAACCACCGCAACCTTATATCCTCTTATTTCCTTCCAGCCCAGTTTGGGCTTCTATTTGTTACCTGCCCCCCCCCCCCCCGCTCGCTCCCTCCCCCCCTCCTCTCACGTAGCTCAGGTTAGCCTCAAACTCACTATGTAGCCAAGGATGACCTCAAACTTTTGATCCTCCTGGCCTGAATGTCCTCAGTGCTCAGATCATAGGCATTCACTTTCATATCCTAGTTATAGGGTGCTGTGGATGGAACCTGGACTTGGTTCCCACGAGGCAAGGAAGCAGCCAGCTGAACCCTATTCCCAGCCCTCAGGGCTTCTATTTGAATGCTGCACAGCCTGGGGTTTCCTGGGTTTGGTTGCCCCCGTGTTGTCCTAAGCCCCAAGATACCCTCTATAGTTCCACTATCACGTGACTTACTTCTTGAAGTAGGATGCCTTTGCACAAGAATGCTTGCTGCAAAGGGCAAGCTTCTGTTAGCTGACTGTGGCTTGAGAGGTGGGCAAACGCCATCATGCAGCAGAACTTTCAGGAGGAATGGAATGGTCTCTATCTGGGTATCCAGCGAGGGATCCACTAGGAAGTGTGCACATAGGTGTGACTGTGAAACTGCACTGTTTTCCTTTCATTCAAACGCTGGCTCACAGCAGAGCCAGGCCTTGCTGGGACCTACTCTCTACTCTTAAGAAGCTACACTTTGCTCTTGGCACAAATGGAAAGAAAACCTCAAGGGATCTCTGAACTCTGGTCAGGGTGGTCGGGTGAGTCTCTCTACCATATGATGTGTATTCTCGGGGCTCATCAGTCCATCTCTGTGTGTCTGTCTTCCCTCCCCAGGCCCCACCATGAGGCCCCAGCCCCTCGGGAGCCCCTGCGCTCCCCTGGCCCCGGGCACACCGTGCTAGCCCCAGGAGGGCAAGGGCAGGCAAGGGGGCCATGGCCAGCCACGTGGACCTGCTCACCGAGCTGCAGCTGCTGGAGAAGGTACCTACGCTGGAGCGCCTGCGCGCAGCCCAGAAGCGCCGGGCTCAGCAGCTGAAGAAGTGGGCACAGTACGAACAGGACCTGCTTCACCGTAAGCGCAAGCATGAGCGGAAGCGCAGCACAGGTGGCCGTCGCAAGAAGGTGTCCTTTGAGGCCAGTGTGGCGCTGCTCGAGGCCTCACTGAGGAACGATGCCGAAGAAGGTAAGGCCCCTGGCTCCAGAACCTGAACTGTACAGGGGCAGGCAAATTCTGAGCTGCTCCTGAGGTCAAGTGTGGACCACCCCATCAGTCCACATTAGGAAGAAGATGGCCCTAGGAGACTTCTCCCCCACTCCTGAGACAGTCTCCTGTAGCCCAGGGAGGCTTCCACTTGTAATGCAACTGCGTATGACCTTTAACTTCTGACCTTCCTGCCTCTACTTCCCAGGAGCTGGGACTGCAGCCCTGTGCCCTGGCGTATCCCTTCCCACCCCCAAGCCTTGGCTTTATCTTAGATTGTTGGAGACAATGAGTCCAGCTTTTGGCTAAGGAATACAATAACAATTTCCCTTCCCTCCCACAAATATTTACTGACAGCCTGCTTCCTGCGGCACTGGCACTCGGTGCAGAATGATGAACACGTGGTATCCCGTGTCCCGTGTCCCCCCACCCACCCAAGCTGGCTACTCTAGGATGATGCGTTTCTGGAATCCTTTTCTCTGGTCCTTACTCAGCCTGTGGTATGCTGCTCTTCTTTTTCATGCTGGGAGGGAACCCAGGGTCTTATAAACGGATCCAGCACTCTCTCCAGAACCCATATCCCTGAATCTGTTCTCCATTCACTCTCCACTGCCACAACTGCCACATCCATGGTGGGGGGTAGTGAAGAGCTAGACCCTGGGGGCTGGTGACTTAGCTGGGAGGTTAAGAGCACCGATTGTCCTTCCAGAGGACCCGGGTTTGATTCCTAGTACCCACAGAGCAGCTCACAATCAGCTATAACTCCAGTTCCAGGGAAACTGACCCACTCTTCTGGCCTCCCAGGTACCAGACATATGGGATATGCGGACATACGTGATACACACACATGCATGTAGGCAAAATACACATACACATAAAATAAAAATGATAACATCTTTTTGAAATGTATCTATACCCTGGAGGTGGACACCTGGGTCTAAAACTGGATGTGCAGGTCCCTGTGCGACCCTGACACAGAGAAGTTCTTTTGTTCTCTGTCCTTAGACTTTACTTGTCCAAAATGGGGGAGACCGCAGCACGCCCATGAAGGCCTTCTGAGCATTCAGTTGAGTAATACCCGTGAAGTATCTCGGACATGGCCCTCATGTTAACTATACGCTTATGATTGTTTTTAAATTTCGCTTTCTGACTTTTGAGACAGGCTCTCAGGTAGCTCAAGCTAGTGTCTATGTAGTTGAAGATGACCATGAATTCTTGATCTTTCTGCCTCCACCTCCCAAATTCTAGAATGGCAGGTATGAACCCCCATAGCTGATGTATCAGCATGTTTTATTATATTCCTACCTTTTATTTCTTTAAATGTGTAGTTTATATTGTCATGGATTCCGTAAGTCTGGAAGTAGAGACAAGTATACACCACGTTGTCCATGATGGTTTTACTCTCCGAACTGTGTAAATAAATGAATGCATGTTCATACGGTTTCCGGGTTGCACGGTTACCCTGTACTGCTTACATTCAATAATGCCCACTTCACAGATAGGGATATTGGATTCAGAAAGATTCAGAACCTTGACCCGATAGGATAACAGGATCAGAAACCCTAGGTAGGATACTACCCCGTGGCTTTTCAGGTTTGCTTTCTGCAGCTAGAATGGCTTTGACCAGGCTCCTTCAGTGGGCATAGACTCCTGCCTGCTCATTAGAGCTGCAGTTTGTGCACATGCCCTTTGACCCCTCAGGAGCATCTGCACTACCCCTGGAGAAGCCTGGCATGTCCCCTGGATTCCTCCCCTCTCCTGGTATTGAGAACCCTGGCATGTCCCCTGGATCCTTCTGGAGCCTCTCCTGGTTTTAGGCACTAGAACAGTTAGTGAAAGCTGAGAGCTGGGGGCACTGAGAACATAAGAGACCATGGACGTTCATAGGCCGAGTGTCCCTAACCATGGAAATCTGAAACATTTGGGGCACCTACATAGATGTTGCATATAGAAACAAACACGCCTGACCTCATGGGATGGGTCATAAATCACGGGTGGGCTAGAAATGACGCCCAACCTGCTTGCTGTAAGTAAGTGGGACACAGAAGTGAACTTACGTTGACTTGGTTTCCATCCTCGAGCAATCATCTTGAGTATTTCAGTACATCAGACACACCTCATTGCAAGCCTTAAAGATAAGAGATACAAACCTGTGCTCCCCTGACCCTCCAACTTCTGGACTGCCCCGAAAGCACCATATCATTGATCCCGGTAATACGGGGCCCTAGGATGTGAGCAGGGACAGGCTCCCAGATCCATTGAGTTTTAAACGGCCCAGGTGAGAGCTGGGGTGAGCCCCTGAAAGGCATGATGGCTCAGGATGGGGATGTGGCCCCGAGGCTCCTTCCCACGTGTGATTTGGTGTGCTGGGTGACGTGGCGGCCCCATCCCACTCAGGGGGTGGCTGGCAGGCTTATGACGAGGTCTAATTTTTGGTGGAGGTGGCAGTTCACTAACTCCTCTCTCTCCACGTGTCAATTGCGCTCCTCTTCTCTGGAAAACCCCATTTCCCCTCCCAAGGGGCTCTGCAGACTTTGAGAGTTGACTGTGTGTTTTGGAACAGTTGATGGCATCTACCCAGCCCGCTACCCAAATATCATCTCTTGTCAACTGTCAAGTGCGCTGCCTAGAAGAAACATGGCTTGGAGTTCAAGGGTGCTCTTCCACTCCATCCCTAGCCTATGACCTTGAACAATTTGTTTTCCTCTCTGTTTCAATTAAAATTGAAATTAAACTTGAATTAAAATCCGCATCACAGAGCATGGAGGGCTTGGGTTTGAGAGAGTGTGGCAGGAGTTAGAATTGGTTCTAGATTTATGTAGTTCAGCTGGTAGAGGGGTTGCCTAGCGTGTGTGAGGCCCTGCATTTGGTCTGCAGTACCATGTAAACTGGGTATAATATCCATACCTGTGATCCCAGTACCTGAGGCAGGGAGTTCAGAAATTTTGTGTCATGCTTAGCTACATAGTGAGTTCAAGGCCCCAGCCTGGGCTACACGAGAAGACCAAAACATCCTAGACCTTTGAAAGTTACCCTGAACCCCGTGGCAGATCAGCAGTGATTTAAATAGTTCTCCAGATAAAACGACTTTAATGTTTAAGAAAATATAAAATTCATACAAACGAATTCTTATTAAATCAAATGATATAGCGTTGTACAGAATAACAAGTCCCTTCCTCTCTCCCTTTCCCCCTTCTAGTCCCTGCTTGTTCATCTGAAGTCTTTCCTTCTATGTGTGGACTGGGAAGCTCATAGACCTTCATATTTCTTTAAGCTTTTATGCAAGGAAAGGCATCTTGGGATTCCAGGCACGTGACTCCAGTGTTCACCCCCCTCCCCAGTATGAAGTCTCGGAGTTCTGTGTGCCATCAACACGCAACACAGCAGACTTGCACAGCTCACTGTGTAATGTTTTATAGCTGGTGTCACTAGGATCTATACAATTTCCCCAGTAGTTTTTCTTTGGGCACATGTTCTAAGTATTTATCTTGGACAAATGTGGAAACATGTTTGTGAGCTGGATGGAAGTCATTAAGAAAAGACCTCTGGATTGGTGTCACTGTGGAAAGCTGTGGGGGCCGTGTGAAGGGGACCCTGGGGTCCACGGGTGGATGTGTTTGAGGTTGCCGTCCGTCAGCCCTTGAACTTGCTGATCTCTGCTCAGCTTCCTGGCAGCCTGACAGAGCCCGCCTGTGCCTGGGCTGACTGAGAACGGCTTCTGCTTGCTGGCTGAGCTGCTGTTTGGGAGGCTGCTGGGGTGTTAGCTCACAGTGGCGAGGGAGCATGGGTGGCAGCTCCCCACTCCCTTGAGCTCATAGCATCCTGAGTCAACCTGCAGGGGGGTGGGTGAGGGTTGTTCTCAGAGAAAAACAATCTGGCTAATGTCCTTGACCTAGGACCTGCCTGAGCCCCTCCCTCCCTACTCCTTGGCATCTTTTGATTCCTCCTCATGGCCCCTAAGTTCTTTGGCCCCTTTGGCACCTCTGGGTGCGTGCTTCCCTCACCTGACATACTTTTTCCAACTCTTCAGGTTCCCAAGGAGAGCTCTCCACAGGCCTCGGGCACCTCAGCCATCACTAGCATAGAAATGGTGCACCTTGCTGTTTCCTGAGAGGCTGCAGAGAGCCAGGGGGTTGGCGTGCAGACTGCAGTTCATCCCCCTGAGTTGAGATCTCAGCTCTCCCAGTGACTCCCTGTGCATGTGGGGACAGTAACCTAACTTTCCCAGACCTCAGTTTCCTCACTTGATTAATACCCCTACCATGTAAGGTTGAGGGGCTGACTTGACTTGGTAGATGCCGAAGATGTGTGGTAAGAAGTGGGGAAGAGGCAGAAGCTGTTATTTCTGTGCTGTCTATTATTCCACATTTGCGCAAGCTCTCCCTGTTAACATATTCTGACTCTCACCTTCATGATTATTTATCAGGTACCGGGTACCAGGCAGCTGCTTTGCATATGCCATCTCGCCATCTCGTCTAATCCCTACAGTGACTCTCTCAAGCTGAAGTTGGGATAGTCAAACCCTATTTTGGAAAAGTAACTTGGAGCTTCATTTGCATATCCTAAGATCTGCCCTTATTATTTTTTTTTTTTAACTGTTCAGGAGTTTCCCACCAAACTCCAGGGCTCTGTGCCCATCTTTACAGTCTAGTTTTAGAACTTGTTCATCACCTCTTGCTCCTGCGAAATCATCCCCAGGCCCCAATCCTTGTCCCAGGTAACCACTAGTCTCCTGCCTTTTCTGGATGTTTCCTTCATCTGAAATCAGCAGTGTGTGAGCTTTGTGATCATCTTCTTTCATCCCGGAGGGCAGTTTTGAGCTTGGCCAGGTTGTAGTGTGTGTGAGCTCTTGCTCCCTTGTTCCAGCCTTCTAGTGTGCCACTGCAAGGCTGTACCACAGTCGTTTCTACTCACCATGGGCTGAGCATGTGGATCTTGGCCCTTTGGGATTGATGATCAATGCTGCTAAGAACAGGTGTTTG